GGGTGCGCCAAAGAATTAAGTACCCCCCCCCCCCCCCCCCCCCCCCCCCCCCCCCCCCCCCCCCCCCCCCCCCCCCCCCCCCCCCCCCCCCCCCCCCCCCCCCCCCCCCCCCCCCCCCCCCCCCCCCCCCCCCCCCCCCCCCCCCCCCCCCCCCCCCCCCCCCCCCCCCCCCCCCCCCCCCCCCCCCCCCCCCCCCCCCCCCCCCCCCCCCCCCCCCCCCCCCCCCCCCCCCCCCCCCCCCCCCCCCCCCCCCCCCCCCCCCCCCCCCCCCCCCCCCCCCCCCCCCCCCCCCCCCCCCCCCCCCCCCCCCCCCCCCCCCCCCCCCCCCCCCCCCCCCCCCCCCCCCCCCCCCCCCCCCCCCCCCCCCCCCCCCCCCCCCCCCCCCCCCCCCCCCCCCCCCCCCCCCCCCCCCCCCCCCCCCCCCCCCCCCCCCCCCCCCCCCCCCCCCCCCCCCCCCCCCCCCCCCCCCCCCCCCCCCCCCCCCCCCCCCCCCCCCCCCCCCCCCCCCCCCCCCCCCCCCCCCCCCCCCCCCCCCCCCCCCCCCCCCCCCCCCCCCCCCCCCCCCCCCCCCCCCCCCCCCCCCCCCCCCCCCCCCCCCCCCCCCCCCCCCCCCCCCCCCCCCCCCCCCCCCCCCCCCCCCCCCCCCCCCCCCCCCCCCCCCCCCCCCCCCCCCCCCCCCCCCCCCCCCCCCCCCCCCCCCCCCCCCCCCCCCCCCCCCCCCCCCCCCCCCCCCCCCCCCCCCCCCCCCCCCCCCCCCCCCCCCCCCCCCCCCCCCCCCCCCCCCCCCCCCCCCCCCCCCCCCCCCCCCCCCCCCCCCCCCCCCCCCCCCCCCCCCCCCCCCCACCCCCCCCCCCCCCCCCCCCCCCCCCCCCCCCCCCCCCCCCCCCCCCCCCCCCCCCCCCCCCCCCCCCCCCCCCCCCCCCCCAACCCCCCCCCCACCCCCCCCCCCCCCCCACCCCCCCCCCCCCCCCCCCCCCCCCCCCCCCCCTCCCACCCCCCCCCCCCCCCCCCCCCCCCCCCCCCCCCCCCCCCCCCCCCCCCCCCCCCACCCCCCCCAACCCCCCCCCCCCCCCCCCCCCCCCCCCCCCCCCCCCCCCCCCCCCCCCCCCCCCCCCCCCCCCCCCCCCCCCCCAACCCCCCCCCCCCCCCCACACCCCCCCACCCCCCCCCCCACCCCTCCCCCCCCCCCCCCCCCCCCCCCCCCCCCCCCCCCCCCCCCCCCCCCCCCCCCCCCCCCCCCCCCCCCCCCCCCCCCCCCCCCCCCCCCCCCCCACCCCCACACCCCCCCCCCCCCCCCCCCGAGGACGGGAAAAAGAGAGAGATACACACAAGACTGTGAGTCTTTCGATAAAAGATCATTTAACCGTTCAAAACGTGATAATAATGTTTCGAACAGCACAGTCCTTAGATAACGCTTTGAGAACGGAGTTAATGGTGCCTGAAAATGCATGTGGTCAAGTGCACAAGTGGTTAAATTTTGTTGGACCGCAGCACTTTATTCTCTCTTTTTTTCGTGTGCGATCAACTCTCATGTGACTGCTAAAAGCTTGTCAGACAATAGAACAAGAGGAATGCAAATATTTTGGACCGCTTCGCGCTACACAAACTTGCATTTTGTGCTCACATTTTTTAAATTTATTATACCATGATATGAAACTGCTGTGCCATTATTTGATCCGTCCCTTCTGGGAACGGCTTCTCTCAACGTCGAGCCATATACAATTTATTTATTTATTTAGTTATGTAACAACACCGCCTGAAAAGTGGCATTGGACACGCTAGCCTTTACCAATAGGGAGATCCTGACGATGCCACAAGTGCTTCAGGTTGACTAACAGTGACCGAGCTTTGTCGATGCAGGGAGAAATTTCCTTCTCGATACAGCCACCTGCAGACACGCAGCAACCAGGGTAGACAAATCGATCTACTTGTTCAAGCTGTATGCTATCATGAGTGAGAACGGGAAACCGCGAGTCCCAAGCCTGGAGTAAAACGTTGCACTTCGATCGGACGAAGCACAAATCGAACCTGGATACCTCAATCAACAAACGGTTTACAACAGTTTACATGCTTTGCGAGACATCACCAAATAAGGCGATGTCATCGGCATAATCTAAGTCAGTCGTTCACTTGCTCGACAGTAGGTGTAGTCCAACATTTTGATATCCTTCTAAATCTCTTGGCAGCATGTCTTCTACCAGAAATCTAAAGGGAAATGGCGACAAAATGCAGTCCTGTCGAACACTGCTATTGGCACTAAATGACGACGAAATCTTGTCATAGGCCCTCACTCTGCCGGAGATTTGAAGGTAGAGTGTGCTTCGGATGGTTGTGTACTTTTCCTGGACCCCATTCCAAATCAAGCAACGCCATAGCGCGGGCCAATCAAACGAATCAAATGCAGCTTGGATGTCTAAGAATGAAACGATGGTAGGCCCTTGTTAGTGGTGGTGGTGATGGTATTCGAGGATTTGGTGGAGCATGAATATCTGACTCATGCAACCACGGCCAGGACGGAAGCCAGCTTGTCCATTTTGGTATTGCGATTCTTGAAAGGGGAAAATTCTACGGACTAGAATGGATGCAAAAACCTTGGAAGAAACCGAAACGAGACTAAACCCTCGGTGATTAGAGCATGAATTGCGAGCGCCGTTCTTATAAATGGGGACAATGGAACAATGGAATAATGGTTTATTACGGATAAAACAGCATCGCTTAACAAGTCCCGTGGGATGGAAATTATTGCGAAAATAAATTGCATAATAAAGTGAAAAGCGTTGTGGTGGACTCACCATAGACTTATGTGGAATAGCGGAGATGTTCGCGTATTAAACGTACAAATCCGTCAATCCATTGGTTGGGCTTTTGACAAGACACCGTTTGATTGCGTTTTGTAGCCCCTGGCTAACAAGTCATAAAAGGAAATGCAAGTGAGACAATGCATCGTCAACACGTTTTTTAAACATCGCCAGATTGGGAGCAGAGACGACATAATTAGGGAGGACATTCCAAGGCTCACACACGCGGAGAGAAAAGAAATTTCTACGGCATTCAAGCCGGCTATAATGAATTGTCAGTTTCAGAGGGTGACCTCTTAGTTTGGTGTTGTGGTTCAATTCCAGCAGCGGACGACAGATGTGGTTTGGGTTCTTCAGAATCTGGTAAGCCATTATGAGATCTCCCTGCAAAAGCCGATATCGACTGCTGTAGATTCCTAGAGATTTCAGTCTAAGCTGATAGGGCAGATGAAAGAGGCCCCTGACGTTCATGGTTGCCCGTCGTTGAGGAGTCTCGAGAGCAACGAGACCCTGTTTCTGCCACGGCTGCCACGCCTGAATAGCATATTCCACGTGAAGTCGCACGTAGGCGTTAAGCATTTGGGGAAATATTGATAGTTCAAACCGACCGAAGGCTCTGCGAAGAAGGCCGAAGTGTTGATTGCCGGTTCTCGTGTCCTTCTCTGCTTGTTTTGAACACTCGAGATCTTCCTGTACCAATACACCCAGGTCACGCTCCTGAGAAACCTTCGCCTAGGTGTGGTCTCCAATCTTGTAAGCGCTCTCCGGCTGGTGACGCAGATGCATCACTTTGCACTTAGCTATGTTCAATTGAAGCTTGTTCCTCTTTGACCATCCCTAAATGCAAGCTAGGTCATGTTGGAGTAGATCCTGGTCTGCTTCGTTACTAATCGCCCGTCATATCTTGACGTCATCGGCGAAAAGCAGGAACTTTGAGGAGATGACTCTTGCCAGGTCGTTGATAAACACCAGGAATAAACGCGGTCCCAGCACTGAGCCATTTGGGACATCACATTCCACCTCAATTGGGTTAGAAAGTGATCCCCTAACACGTACTTGAAGCTTTCGTTGGTAAAGGAAGTTGCCAATCCAACCAAGTACAGGATCTCCGATTCCGTAACTTTGTAGTCTTTGAAGTAGGATGCAGTGATCAAGGCGGTCGAATGCTTTGGAGAAGTCCAGATAGATGACGTCGACTCCGACCCCATCATCGGCCACTTACGTCCAACTACCTCGTGCAATAAGTAGGTTGGTGGTGCATGACCGGTGTCGACGGAGGCTATGCCATTCCGGTACCAAAATGTTGCATTTTTCCAGGTAGTCCGTTAAAGTGTCAGCGACGACTGCTTCCATCACCTTCGCACACGCCCAAGGAAGAAGGCACCTTAACTTCATGCCAAATTTTGGAGAACAATTTGGTTAACTTGCTGATGATAACCGACTTCATACTACAACAACTCCGGAAAAAGTCCGTCCGAGCCGGCAGCCTTGAATCGTTTCAAGTGTAAAGTTGAAAAACAAACCTACTCTTCACTGGGCACATCAACTGCAATAACCCAAAGCGAGAAACTTGGTTCGCAAGGTATACAAGGGCCAATGAACCTGGAAATGAATATGTTAGGCCCATCGATCCAAGCATCTCTGTAGGTTGACAATCGGCGAACCATCCGTTTCGCAAAAGGTTTCACTGACATTGCTTCCTTTTTGGGGACCCACCAAAACTCATGCAGATATTCGCAAAAACAGGTGCATTGTCTGAGTCAAGTAAGGTGGACCAGAAGAATTTGCAATCCTTTACACTATCACGCCATTAGAAACTGATTGCGCGGTGATCGATCTGAGACCAAGATTGGAATGCAGAAGGGGGTCGCCAAGTGGCGGAACGTCTCCTCGAATGCCGAATACTGGGGCAAGACAGAAATAATCGATTGTCTTCCCACAACCTGGGAAGTCTCTCCCCATTTTCAGATCGGCTGTCATCGAGCGCATATTGAACATCGAAGTGACTTTCGCGTGATAATAGACGACTGAACTTTGTGTTGAGATCCCCAGCAAGGACAACAATATCAGCTTTGCAAATAAGCCGAGACAACCAACAAGTTGCGGCTCTCCACATGATATTTGTCGATTGTGCATGGTCCCCTAAGTCCAACGACACACAGTCGGCTATTAATTGAAAACCGGTCCAGCAGCGCGGCTTCGGCTTGTTTGCTTAGTGCTGCACCGACGCCAGCCCAGTCTGCCGCAGGTGCATTTGTATCACCAGATAGACGTAGATGAAACAAGGCATCGCGGTCGGTGAGTGAGCTCAACTCACACACAGTACTGGAGTCTTACAACTGTATTTCGGAAAGTGAGAGAAACATCGTTGGCAAGGATTCCAAGGTGCGCGCAACATTAATCTGCTGCTCGATCTGCATGAGCGGGAGTACATTGAAGAATGCCAGGCGGAACGAGGACTGAAGCTGAATGGGGACTACTGTATAAACTCGGTTGGTGTCGAGGAAACCATCGGGAGTGGAATCATGGAAACTGGTATCAGATGGTTACGGCTAACAGTGGTTTGGAACAAATGAACAAGTGACGTGTGAATAAGAAGTGCAGATAGCAGAAGTTAAGGCATTTGAGCGCGATAAATCAGGGGAACCATCCATGGTTTTATCAGTGGGCGTGATAATATCCGGTTAGCCAAGCCGAAGTTGGGAGTTGGCTTATGGAACTCCACATTGCGCCTTTGGCTAAATAGCTCATCCGCAAGGCAACAGCGCGAATTCCGGGAATCGCACTTATTGTGAGTAGCTGATTGAATGTTCCGTCCATACGTCATTTGTTTGGTAGATTACCAAACGGAGGCCCAATCCACCCCAAGCATGCAGTACAATTGCTGAAGTACAATGTTCAACCGAGGTAGAAAAGTGCCTCCGAACACTTCACTGACACGAATTACACGCGAACCACGCAGCTGGCACCAGGCGGACGTAGTACAGCAAGCCAGACAGGCGTTGGAGACAACCACCACAAAAGTCACCGAGCCTTTAGTTTGGTCCTTATAATGATGTCTTGAATAAATGCAGGTTTCTATGACGTAACAATATGGAATAGTCCATCCCACTTACAAGAAATGGAATCCTTTGGATCCCTCGAACTACCGTCTAATCCCTCGCCTTCCGGTGTCATGCGAGCTAATGGAAGGTATGATCGCAGAGGCGCTCTTGGGATGTGTTGCGAGCGAAACCATCATAGTGTTACTGCGGGCTGGACTCCACTACTTTCTGTCTTGCACTGCATTTACTGCTAGCTCGAGCAAGCTGCATAGTATCAATCGATGTCAGACAAGGAGTTAACCTCATCTACCGGGGTTCTTCAAATCTTTCGATCGCCTGGACCACCGCATTCTCCTTCACAAGATTCGCAGCCATGGAATAGGTAAACTTGTGGTTAGTTGGATCAGCAAATTCCTCCTTCAACGTCAGCTAAATATGAGAGTCCGCAGCTTCATATCCGACCCTATTGAAGTCCAATGTGACGTATCTCAAGGATAGGTTCTGGGGCTGCGTTTAT